CCCCTGAACTAAACCATGGGGACCGTATACAAATTATTCATAAAAAATTCCTCTTTTTGTCACTACTTTAAAATATATCCTGGCAGACGATATTAAGTGTAGCTTTAATAGTGGCAGACGTCTTAGAAGTTAAAAAATTTAGGTATAGTAAATCCCAGCGAGTGCGAGCGTGTGAGAGATAAGCGCGCGAGGGCATAACCAACAGAGATAGCGATAGGATACTGACTACTGAGATATTTCAAACCACTTGATTCTAAACTTCTGATTCATATAGTTCCACCCACTTCAATCAAACGGATTGTAGAAACTCACGACATTTTTCGGTGGCATTCGCCCAAATTGCGATGAACTAAACCATGAGGACCATACACAAGTCATACATCCGGTAAATGCGTGGGAACCCTGCGCGTTACACAAATCAACACCCAAATTCACGAACATCTCTAGAAGATTTATGAATTTCTGCGTGTTATTGGAAAAGAGACCTACTTCCATCTATACCTTGATGGTAGAGTCAATTTTACATTTCCCAAAGCAATAACAGCAATATCCATATCGGAAGCGCTTTTGCTACTTGTTGGTAGTTTACCAAGATGGTAAATTATTCGAGAATCTGCCTCTTAGTGGCTGCAGCACAATTCAGTTTTTACCACATCATCTTCCCTTGTCACAAATTTATAGCACTTATCTTCATATGTGGCAAACACAACTTTCCTTTCAAGTAAAGCGCAACAGGTCTTTTTTTGCCTATGAACGGTATAAGTAATCTATAAGAGAGGCTTTGAGCTATCATTGCGAAGTGGTTTTATGAAATTTGCAGGCTGCTTCTGAGTGGAAACAGAAATTGAGTAGGATTGTAATCTTTCCTTATTTTGATCCCAACGATCATGTTCTGCGTCCTTCATGGAAGGAGTAACTATCTGTCAAAAGTAAGATGTACTTCTCTCGCTGACACAGCACAAATCTTGCCGAGGATGGGTTCAGAAAATTGCTCAAAGGTTTACCGGAGATCTTTTAAAAGATGCAAAAAAATAATCCATCGATTAAAACAACATCTACAACTGGCGATGGACTAGGAGCACTTGAAGAAATCATACATCCGAAAAAGTTTCAGCAAAATAAACTTGTCGATTTTAATCATCGATCCATCAATGTTGCATAAAGACAACGGAACTGGAGTCAGAGGATAGTTTAGAAAGAGCTGAAGATCTATCTTCTTTTCTCTTCAAGTTTTCTGTTTCTCAGTCTGAGAAGAATTCAAGAAATACCGACAATTTTATCGCGAAATAAATAATTTATTATTTTCCCTAATTTAATTCGTTTGGTAACTCCAAGCGGTGCGTAAACCTATAGCTATCTCTGTTCGTTGTGCTCTCGCGTGCCTATCTCTCACACGCTCGCACTCGCTGGGATTTACTATACCTAAATTTTTTAACTTCTAGGACGTCTGCCACTATTAAAGCTACACTTAAGATCGTCTGCCAGGATATATTTTAAAGTAGTGACAAAAAGAGGAATTTTTTATGTATAATTTTTATACGGTCCTCATGGTTTAGTTCAGGGGTGTTTTTCCCTACATTGGAGGGCGTCTTTCGCTACTAACGCTGCACTTGATATCGTCTGCCATAGCATATTTGAAAACTATGGAAAAAATGAGATTTCTTGATACAAATCTTTTCCGTGGCCCTTATAGTTTGGTAATTTAGTTGATCACCTAAAGAAGTCACCTATTCAGCGCCTCCCCAAGTTAATGCTGCCACTTACGACTGGCAGACGAGTGATTTTATTATTAGTTTTCAACGTACTTTCAGCCTGTATTGTCGAATTTTTTGTCGGTTATGGTTTAGTTACTATGTACTCTGCCTCCCGGTCTACGTGATGTAACACCAGAGCAGTTACGTCCAAAATTTCATTTACTTACACATTACCCAAACGCATTGTTGAAGCTCGGCCCAATACGGTACCTGTGGGCTATGAGATTCGAAGCGAAACATAGAATACTAAAATTCGCTGCTAAAAGTAGTGCAAGTCGGGTAAATATTTGTAAAACTCTTACAATTAAAAACCAATTAATTCTGAATAACCTTCTTTTATCAAGAAAATTACCCACGAGCCTGTCTTCTTCCAAGAGGAAATTCTTGTCTGAACCAACTATGAAAACTTTAGGGTTAGATTCTGCATGTGGTAACCGATTTTCAGTTACTTGGCTTCAATCAGACGGCATTAGATTTAAAATCTCCGATATTGTCCTTTTAGACATTTGCGAATATAATCTTTTACCTCAGTTTAGCGAGGTCACTTCACTTTTGCTATCTGAAGATGAATCTCCTTTTCTTGTTTGCGTAATTCTTGACACACTTTACCAAGACCATTTCCAAGCGTATGAGGTTAAAAGAACCACACAGAATAGAATTTTACCTTTATCTGATCTGGTTGCTCCTTGTCCAAATAAATTAACCATAATGCGAGATTTGTCATTATATCTGACCTTAAGATGGACAATTGATTGAAATCTTATTTCAACAATTCACTTTGTTAATCGTATTTAAGTTACTATAGTGTTTAAATGTAAGTATATGATAATGTAATGATATATTATTTACAAATCATTTATGTGGTACATTTGTAATACAAAATAGAATCGCAATGCGTGGTATAATTTACTCCACCCAGATAATTTCCTTCTTTTATAATTTTATTTGACTGTCAATTTTTGTGTGTTCTAGTCTAAAAATCGTTGATCCTGCCTGTCCGGACCAATATTTTTAGTTCTGAATTTAACCTTGCGAATGGATCCACGAAACGTGACGTAGGTAACGGTAAAGCGAGTAATCGTGCCTAAAACTTGCACAATTACTTTATGTACAGGGAAGTTTAGGGTGTGATCGTATGCTAATCCTTTACGCCACGTTTTGTGGATTCAATCTCAGCGAGTTAATCCAAAACATGAAATACTGGTACAGGCAGACACAATTATGGGAAACGAAACATAAAATTATCAGTCAAATTCATAAAAAATTACAGGAACGTTACTAAAAAATAAAAGGATCTTTAATCGAGAATAAGAGGAAGGCTTGTTAACAATAAGAGGAGAGTTATGGAAAAAAAACAGGAATGAATGTAATCTCCATAAAACAATAAAAATAAAATGATTCATAAATTAACAAAATAGATTCATCCTTATAATTTACAAGTCTTCTTGTTATTGTTATGACGTCACCATGGACGGACAGTTTTGTTATATTAAGAGGATAAATTTACTTTTTATTTTAAAGGAGGCCATACCAGTCCTCGATTATCTGGATTTATATATATTAAAGGTAACATTTTTCTCAGTGTACAAAAGTACTCTAGAAGAGTTTGTTTGCCGTATGTACGGTTCTAAGAGGATTAACAATATTAATGTTGTACGCGTGGCAACTTTTCTGAAAGCATATAAACTTAATACGAAAGAAGAAATGTTTTTTGTATTCCTAATGAATTCTATTTTATTATATTAATGCTAATATTCATATTTTTTAAAGAAATCATGGAAGATGCTAATGAAAACAATGAATCACCAGAGGTTGACGAAACTTCTGATAGCAGCTCTGAAGAAGAATTAGATTACGATGAAGACTCCAGCGATAAATAATTAAGGTGGTTGCACCAGTCATTCAGTCCAATTCTGTAACTAACAAGTTTGCAATATTGCTAACTATAGCAAGATTGCTCACACAAAATTCTAGCAATATTATGAGCAATAATAACAAATTTGTCATTCTCTAACTACCAACTTGAGCAATATTGCTAATGTTCCTACACCTCGTCAAATTGCTACGAACTAGTCAGAACTTAGTGACAGAAGTGTTGTCACTGGGCCTAAAATTAGACGCATTGGGCCTACTGAACTCTTACCACTAAATTCACAACTGTTTAAACTTTTTAATTGTAAGGTTAGGTATATTTTTGATTTAAGTTTAACCATCGAATAAAAGTTTTTATTCAATGGTTTAACCGATTAGGCGCGTTGTGCTTTAAAAGTGACGTGCGGCTTGTAATTTGTATTTGCTCGCAATGGAAAGTACAGATACCAAACAGCGTGGCGCTAGAACAACATAACAGCAACATTCCATAATTTTGGACAATTTAGAAAACAAGTAAAACACGATTTTTCTTGGTTCAGGTTACGATTATCTTTCCTAGAAGCATCTGTTATTAAAATTTCTCCATAAACAAGAAATAAGAAATTTGTCAGTTGCGCAGTTTGCGCATGCACACATCTGATGTTTACAATATGCGATATGCTTATCTTTACTAGAGACATCTATTTTTAAAATTTCAAAAAAATATCTACAAATAGAAACGTTGACGTTACGCCGTTTAATCGTCAAGATTTTGCTTGGCTCAGATGCCAGAGTTATACGCTACCGAATGCAAACAGAACGAACTAAATATCTTGAACTGTAGGAGTAGTTAAGGCCTCGCACAGACGGACAGAGAAAGTGTCTGCAATAGCGCACCCAACTTCTTTGGAAAAATCCCATGTTGGTTCATGAAAGAACTGCTCCAAACGATATTAAAAACTAGATGAATTATGGGAAGAATCACAGCGTTTAAAAATTCGTATTTAAACCATCCACCTGCCATATATGAACGGGTGAAATACACTTGCTAAGACTTAACAACAGCACTTTACCTATTGCTAGGGTCAAGCAATTGAATTGTTAAAATTTTAGGCAACTTTGCTCAGTTTGTCAGTACAGAATACCACTTTTAACAAAGATTGCTCATCTAGCAATTACCTTCACTATTAGCAAGTTGCTAAGGTTATTTTAAGTTACAGAATTGGACTGATTGACTCCTTAAGCCCAACTTGTACCTTCTTCAGATTATTGCAAAGTGAGAATATGGAGTGGGAGGTCACACTGCACGGCAAGTGAAAGCTTAGAGATTCATGCTTTAAAAAATATTACTTTTCCTTAAATTGACGTAACAAAAAGTTGTTTCAGTACTTTTTATCAAAAAATTGCTGTGGCACCAATAATTGACCTGGCACAATCTTACTACGTTCTACTCTTTGACTGGTATGTGCTTCAATAATTGACCGATACCTTCTTTCATTGTTTATTTAATCATTACAGTGAAACTAAGTAAGTATAATATCCCATATTATAAGATTACAATAACTATACAAAATTGTAATATATTCTAGCTTATGTCGTCCATTTCTTTCACAATGTAAACGCCGTTTATAGAAATGGGGGTTTGTATGTATTCCAAAACCTTGTGTTTTTTATACCAGAGTATATCATCTTTCTCGGGCCATTTCCAGTTTCTACTTTCAGTGTCCTGTTTCTCCATTGTTTTTAGTTTAAATCTTTTGTTTTCCTCGTCCACGCCAATTATTACACCAGGGTACAATTGGTCATCATATTCAACAATGACGTATTTCCCTATCTCTTCACTATCTTTGTCCTTTCTCTTATTTTTCCTTGTCACATGTTCTGTCGCATTACATTGTGCTTTCTCTTCACTATTACCATTTTTCTTATTTTTCCCGGACACGCCGGTATTATAGTCACAGTGTTATTTTAAGACGTTCTTCTGCCTCTTGTTTTCTATTTTATTCTGGTCACCTTCTTTTGCGTCACTTTTCAATTTCTTTTTTGCTTCCCTATCTGCTTTCCGTCGTTCTTTGTCAGCATCTTTTTTATCCTTCTCGTCTTGCAATTTCTTATGGTATTCCTGCCATCTCTCAGAAGAGGCAACAGAATGAATTTTTTTCTTTGTCTTAATGTTGGATTTTTGCGGCTGTGGTCCTGGCCAAAACAAACATCTTTTGAATGGGGTTGGAACACCGGATAAATCTTGAGGAATAGATGGAAAAAAAATAAAATTAGACTTCAGGCTCAATACTGACCTTGAACCTGAACTTGAGGTAACTCCGGAGCATCTTCATGTTGTTGGTTGTTACATGGTTCTGCCACTTGAGCTGACTCACTTTCTTTGATCTTATTGAAGTCTTAAAACAACAGGCATATTAATTTGGTATAATGATATGAACTCATTAGTAAATATACTATGTACATTGGTACGGTATACATCTCGTTATTTGTATGTACTAACCTTGTTCTTGAAGTGTATTTTTATTATCTTCATTTTCTTCACTTATTGTTGCGGGTGGTTCTGGGGTTACTTGGGGATTTGTGTGTTCTATTGTAACGTTATTCATTTGTTCACTGTTATGTTCATCTTGCTTAACGGTATTTAAATCTGAAAATGAAACATAGATCAATGTTGTTATAAGGACTAATTAACCTGAAAACTCACCGTTACTAGAGAGAGCTCCGTTATACAATGTGCTATTATTTATATTAATCACTATAAGTTCATTATTATTCATTGGTGTCTTGGAAGGTGTACAATTTTGAACATTATTGCTTAACAAGACAAATTCTTCTTCGTCGAGGTCAATAAAGAAATTATTGGCGTCGTCTGCATTAAAAGATACATTCCCTTCTTTTAAAACTTCATCTATCAATTCTCCTGTATTTGTTGATATATCAATACTCCTTGATGCTTTTTGAGACACGTTTTTCCACAAACAAAACAAACTTTTGTCTTCTACGTTTCCAGTCCATTCAGTAGTACATTGTTGAAAAAGATCAATTTTATCCGGGATATCTTTTTCTAAGAAGCCCAAAAATTGTTTATACTTTTCTGTGCCGTCGTTATCTTCTGTAATTTCTGCCGTACTTTCATGCAATGTATGGCCACTGCTTTCCGTGGTCTTAAAGTATCTGTTGTAATCAATACTTTTCGAATTGAAAGGATATATACCACACGTACGGAATCCATTTTTCAGAATGTTATCTGTACCGTTCATACTAAGCAACGTCTTTTCCAGTAACACCCCAAACTCGTCTCTACTTAGTTTTTGTCCGTTGTTTTGCATTCTCCATTCAAAAACTTTAGCTTTCCATTGCTGCTTGAATGGACGAAAGAACGCAACATCCAGTGACTGCAGAATATGAGTTGCGTTTGGCAGCAAAGCTACCAATGTAATTTTATTTTGTGAACAAAATTCACTTAACTTCAGTGTTAAGTGGGATGTGTGGCCGTCTACAAACAATATAATTGGGAACTCAACGTTTTCTTTTATTAACCACGGATAAAAAATGTTTGTAATATATTCAAAAAAACTTTCGCCTGTCATCGAACCACTATCAGTAATACCAACTCCCCAATCTTGTGGTACAGAATGGGCAATTTTTTGTGGCATCCTTTTATATTTGAAAAGTATCATTGGCGGGGCTAAGATACCACTAGCACTGCACATGAATAATGTTGTTATGCATTCTTTTTCGTCGTTGTTGACAAAATTATAGGCGGCCCGTTCTCCTTTACGGACCAAAACTTTGTTGTCTTTGGGGCACAGAAATGCAGCCGTCTCATCACAATTAAACACCCCCTGCTGCCATCGGAAATTGCGTCCAACAAAAAGTTTTCTGTAAAATAATTTTCCACCTCCAAAAACCAACTTTGTAACTTATCTTTTGTAACACTCGATCTAGCATTTGTTAAATTTTGAGAGACTCGAACACTTACTTCTGGATTTCGACGCATGAATGCCTCGTACCAGGTCGATCGTTGGTAAAAGGAGTTTTCCTTTTTAAATCTTTTATTAAAATCTGTACACTATCTAACAGGCATGATTTTGAAGCCGGAAAACCCCTATTTTGTAAATGGAAAAGCCATTTTACGAGTGTTTTCAGTGTTTTCTCTTCATCTAAAGTTAATATTGTCTCTGGACCCATTTTACGAGTTAGAAGGGTCTTTCCCGTAAATTTATAGATTAAAGTAGTTTTTGGGATTGAATATTTTTTTGACGCTTTATAGTAGCTAACGCCATTACGTACTTCCTCAATTGCATTTTCTAGGTCTGCTGGAGTATAGCTTGGATTTTTTGTTGGCGCCATGGTTTAATTAATACTGGATTCTGCTGCAATACAAATTATAACTCAACGTCTATAAATGAGCCATTAATTGACCAATCGTAGTACTAATGAACGACCATTACATTCACTACAATTTTCTGGCATTTGCAATACATGTTGAATAGGTCATTTATTACGTCTTAACGATCATTTATATTTAAAAACATAATTGAAAATATCATTTGTTGAAAAATGCATTAAAGCCATACATTTAATTTTAAAACTTAAGCGAGATTCATCCACTCTTTGTCCGTTTTATGTACCATTATTGGACAGCTTAAATGCTCCATTGTTTGACCATTTACTATAATAGTCAATTAATTCACAAAAAATACGATTTGGATAGGTCAAAGACTGGTCATCGTAAAAATGAATTTTATTAAAGTGCAAAACCGCATTATGGCATAAGATAGCCATAATACTGTACGGTCGAAATACATAATTAGCGAAGGTACTAATGTCCTAATAAGTGACCTATTGGTCCATAACTGGGCGACTGTCCGTTATTCTTGTTCCAGTAATTGACCATTCATTTTTGACGATTTCCAGTTAAAAAAGGAACATGTGTACGAACAAATTATACCTGCGGTGGGTGACCGCCGGGGAGAAAGAGCAGGTAGCTGCAGAACTTTTCTACCCCAAAGAAAGTCAGTCGAAAATACGATGCAGTCAAGCAAACATCTTAATAAACGAACCACCAATTAAAAGTATTTTATTAATCGCGACGAACATATGGTCCTTCGAGCCGGATTTAGAAATAAATAAATATATCGCAATAAATAAAGTCGCGAGGTAGAAAACTTAAACAACTAAAACTAAAACACAGTGCGAAGTAGCCAGCCTTCACGGAACCACGTCGCATTTCTTCACAGTCAAAGGGAAAGGCGGAATCATCCTGGGGCGTCACAAAAGTCTGCGGTAAGTCGGTGGTTCTCACTTTTTCTTAATCCTTTCTTGTAAATCCTAACTAATTCAAACAAGTCTTAATCATGACAAAGGGCGTGGAAAACTTAATCAACAAACGCAATTTTATTAAAGACAAATTCTCGCGCATGCAAACGTTCATTGAACAATTTAATGACTCTGAACAAAGCATCACGGAATTAAAGGTCAGAATTCCCACAATAAATGCAATGTTTAATCAATTTGACGAAATTCAAGACAAAATTGAGGAGTCCAAGGCGATAAGCAACGATGTTAACGAACGGCTCAATTTCGAAACTAATTACTTTCGTGTATTGGCTTTGATTGAACAACATATCGAGAATTTTGAATCGAATAGGGCCTCAAACCATCAAACTCCATTGCGCGATCAAATTCAAAATCCTCTGAAGGTAAAGCTACCTACATTAGAGCTTCCGAAATTTGACGGTAATTACGCGGAATATCATTCATTCCTTGATCGTTTTGACCGTAGCGTTCACAAGAACGAAAAATTATCAAACGCTGATAAGTTAGAGTATTTGAAGGGTTGTTTAACAGGAGAAGCAAGTGCATCGATAAACGTTCTAAAGGTAACTAATGACAACTATCCGAAGGCCTTAGAAATTTTAGCAAAACGTTTCAAAAATATGCGACTTGTTGTCACAGAACATGTCCAAAAAATTATAAATAGCCCTCAACTAATTAAAAATTCACATGCTCCGCTTCGGCAATTAATTGATGATATCACTCAAAACCTAGCGTCATTAAACGCATTAGAGATAGATACCTCTACATGGGATCCTTTAATTGTTCCTCTCATTGCAGCTAAATTTGACTTTTATACAAAAAAAGAATGGGAAACTACCCTGTCGAGTAAGTTACCAACCCTTTTAGAATTAACGGACTTTTTAGAAAAACGATTTAATATTTTGCGTTCGATTAACACACCCACACCCGGACCAAGTAAGTTAGGGGTTATGGACAAAACAAATAATCAGCTCCCAAATAAAAGTAAAAAAACGAGCAATTACGTCAGTATAAATAAAGCGGCGCCGGCGTGCGATATTTGTAATCAAACCGATCATCGGGTTGCATTTAAATGTCCCGATTTTCTTAATTTAAGTATTAATGACCGAATAAAGAAAGCTAAACAGCTCAGTCTGTGCCTTAAATGTTTAGGAAAGGGAAATCATTCACAAGAGAAGTGCAGAATAAAATGGTGCGTAATTTGTAAGCAAGCCCATAATGTTTTAATACACAAGGACGATGATTTGCAACTTCAAAACGATGGAGTTTCCATTCAGGAGCAGTCATCTTCCATGGCAACTACCAGTACGAATTTATTCACGGACACTAATCATCCACAAGTTTTACTAAATACCGCGTTAGTAATGGTTGGCGATGGTGTTGGTCGGAAACATCAACTTCGATGCTTACTAGACAATGCATCACACAGTTGTTTTATAACAAAACAGGCATTTGATAAATTAAGATTGCCATCTGTTCCCACAAACTTTTTGGTGACCAGTATTAATCGAAACAATACTGCACTCAACAAATTAGTACGCATTACCATGTACTCTAATCATTCGAATTTTGTAACAAATCTAGAGTGTCTCATTGTTAAAGAAATTTCTGAGCAATTACCGCCGCAGTTCTTTGACATTGACCATCTCCAAATTCCCAGTAACTTAAAATTAGCAGATTCTAATTTCAACATTCCTGGTGAAATTGACATGCTCATAGGCGCCGAGACATACTGTGAGATAATTCGCAGCGGTCATTTACCGCTCGGTAAGGGCAAGCCGCTTTTACAAAACACGTGGTTAGGGTGGATAGTTTCAGGTGCCGTCCATTATCCGATTAACAAACAATTTATGACTTCCTGTCACTTCTCCTCTATTCACAAGCTGGAAACACAGCTGCAAAGGTTTTGGGAAATTGAACAAGTAGATGCAGGTATGAGACCCTTTCTAACACAAACCGTAGACTACTGCGAAGAGCATTTCAAAAATAATCACAAAAGGGATGCCGAGGGTCGTTTTGTAGTTAAATTACCGTTTAATCCGGACGCACCAACTTTCGGCAACTCAAAGCAATTGGCATTAAGCCGCTTCCTGAAATTGGAGAAAAAGTTAGAAGGTCAACATTCTTTGAAAAAGGAGTACCATCAAAATATTTCAGAATATATTAATCAAAATTATTTAAAACCAATTGCCAACAACGAGGTCGATACTAAAGATGCGTTTTATTTACCGCATCATGCTGTCATAAAGGAAAGCAGTCTGACCACCAAAGTGCGTATAGTTTTCGATGCTTCTGCTAAAAGTGACAATGGTATCAGTCTGAACGACACCCTTTATTCGGGTCCTGCTTTACAACAAGATCTATTTTCAATTTTGTGTAGATTTCGAATGCATCAATTCGTAATTTCGGCCGATATTACTAAAATGTATCTTCAAATCAGGTTAGACGAATCACAATGGCAGTATCAACGAATTCTGTGGAGGGATGATAAATCTCACGAAATTAAAACTTACAATCTTACAACCGTTACATTTGGAATCACATCATCTCCGTTTCTAGCAGTAAGATGTTTAAATGAATTAGCGTTTCTAAATCAGAACAAGTTTGGCATTGCTACTCAAGTGATACTAAACGATTTTTATATTGACGATCTTTTATCAGGAGGTAACACGTTTGAAGAAACAAATCAACTTCGTAATGATCTCGTACATATACTTAATCAAGCAAAATTCAAGCTTACGAAGTGGTCATCCAACGATACGCGACTACTAGAAGGTCTAAATCTAGATGATACAGTTGCTCATAAATTATTCGCAAAGGAGCATACGATTCATACTACTAAAACTTTAGGTCTGTCATGGCACAGTCAAAATGACGTAATAACTTATCAAATAAAGGAGGCCGTACTTAATAAAATCACAAAAAGATGTATCCTATCGGTCGTGGCGCAAATTTTCGACCCTTTAGGACTACTGTCACCCGTTATCATCTCCTTCAAAATGTTATTGCAACGATTATGGTCTTTAAAAACCGATTGGGATGAACCAGTTGATAATAAACTCGCAAATGATTTTTTAAAAAACATAGATAACATGGGTGTGCTGAATGATTTTAAAATCCCGCGGAAGGTAATTCCTGTATACCCTTATAAACGAATAGAGCTTCATACATTTAGCGATGCGTCCCAATTGGCTTATGGTTGTTGCGCATACATTCGAATCCAAGACTTCAATAACAAGTATCATGTTCACTTACTGTGCGCTAAATCTAAGGTTGCACCTTTAAAAACTCTTACAATTCCCCGTTTGGAATTATGTGCAGCATTATTATCTGCGCAATTAGCAAGCAAACTGATTACTATACTAAATACGAAATTTGCTGAAACATATTTTTGGTGTGATTCCACAATAGTCTTGTCGTGGTTATCCTTTCCCTCAAATACGTGGAAGGTATTCGTCTCCAATAGGGTTAGTGAAATTCATTCATTGTGCGATAAAACTCGCTGGTATCATGTTGCAACAAAAGATAATCCAGCAGATTTAGTGTCAAGAGGTACAAGTAGCAACCACCTGATTAACTCGGAATTGTGGTTTAACGGACCAACATTTCTTAAGAATAACATATCTCACTTAAAAGGCTTTTCTGTTAAAGAGGGAAGGCCAGAAACGATACCTGAACAAAAAACCGTTACTTTAACTACGACAACATCAATATCATTACCATTTATTCAAAAATTTTCTTCATTCTCTAAACTTACACGAATATGTGCATACTTATACAGATTTATTACAAACTGTAAGGATGTTAACAAGCGGGAGAGCTACAAATCCATCGATATCACGGTAGAAGAATTAAAAAGCGCCGAAATAAAAACACTAATCATGGCACAAAGGCAAGTTTATTTTGATGAAGTTACAACTTTAATCAATGGTAAAAAATTAAAAAACAACAGTAATTTAGTTAACTTAAATCCCTTTCTAGACGAAGATGGTGTATTACGAGTACGTAGTAGACTGTCGAACGCAAGGCATATGAAATTTAATGCAAAATTTCCAATAATACTTCCGAAACAGCATCACATTACGAAGTTGATTGTAACTTACCAACATCGTATGTTACTGCACGCAGGAGTTCAAGCGACTCTGTACGCCCTAAGGCAGAATTACTGGGTCCCAGGGGGTAAATCAGTGGTAAAAAAAATAATACACGGATGCATTTCGTGTTTCCGAAACAAACCTTCAGGTATGCGACCTCTCGTGGGCGACTTACCTTCAAGCCGTTTAGAGCCACTAAGGCCATTTACTAATTGCGGAGTGGATTTTGGTGGTCCATTTCTAATTAAACAAGGAAATGTACGTTCCAGAAAAACTACAAAGGCGTATTTGTGTCTATTTGTATGTTTTTCAACTAAAGCGATACACTTAGAGTTGGTGAGTGATTTAACCACACCCGCCTTTCTAAATTGCTTTAAACGTTTTATTTCTCGCAGAGGCGTTATTCAAAACATCTATTCAGATAATGCCACCAATTTCATAGGCGCGAGAAACGAATTGAAAGACCTACAAATGCTGTGGCGTAATCAAAATTTTAAAAACGAATTAGAAATCTTCATGTCTCAATATAAAACAAAATGGCATTTTATACCGCCAAGGGCTCCAAATTTTGGAGGCATATGGGAAAGAGGAATTAGATCCGTGAAAGATCACATCAAACGTGTGATTGGACAGACGTTGTTGACGTACGAAGAGTTTTTTACGGTTTTGGCATGTATTGAGGCTTGTTTGAATTCGCGTCCCATTACATCCCTAGGCAACGATCCTAATGACCTATTACCTCTCACTCCCGGACATTTCTTAATCGGTGAACCACCGGCTCTGATAATCGAACCTGATTATACCGAAATCAAACTAAATCGATTATCACGGTACCAATTAATCGAGCAGATGAGACAGCATTTCTGGCGTCGCTGGCACAAGGAGTACCTCACAACCCTTCAGCAAATTCCGAAGTGGCAAAAGGCAACCGACACCAACCTGGAAACAGGAGCAATGGTTATCGTGAAGGAAGACAACTTGCCGCCATTGCAGTGGAAACTAGGGCGCGTCCAAGAAACGTTCCCAGGAACTGATGATGTCGTTCGAGTAGTGAATGTGAAAACCGCTAGTGGTGTGTTTAAACGACCCGTGAACAAATTGTGCAAGCTCCCTATAAATTAGCTTGTAAATTAACTCCTAGTCTTTTAAATTAAGTCTATGTTAAATTTAAAGAAATCCTTTTGTTATGTATAATAAAATTACCAATATTTACATATCCCTAAGTTAACATTAAGAATCCAGTTCTTTGCTTCATATGTATATACAATTTAGATAATAGTGTACACATGTTTCGATATTGTTGCAAGTATTGTGATCTTCCAACGGGCGGGAGTATGTACGAACAAATTATACCTGCGGTGGGTGACCGCCGGGGAGAAAGAGCAGGTAGCTGCAGAACTTTTCTACCCCAAAGAAAGTCAGTCGAAAATACGATGCAGTCAAGCAAACATCTTAATAAACGAACCACCAATTAAAAGTATTTTATTAATCGCGACGAACAACATGTTTTCTTTTAAAAAGGGCACACCGTGTCCTTTCAAACAATATAAGAAATAATCACTATCACGTGCCCTATGTGATACCAAATTTATAGAAGTTTATGTCATACTTACCGTTAACCTTTGAAATAGCAAATGGCCGCTCCGACACACTAACTCCGACTGCAACACTAATAGATTATTTTTCCAGTTCACATGCAGCTTACCAACCAAAAACGATGTTGCCAAATTCAACTTTAGCGTTGTAACTGTCACGTTTTGATTTTTTTTTAATTAATCTCTAACACACTTCTTATTTTATTAATATAAATGTGAAATAGGTCAATCAATGGACGTCGGTCAATGATTGGTGCAATCACCTTATTAGTATGTTATATTATGATAATTGTAATAAAAACTTACACATTCCATTCATGCATGCTCATGCATATAATATGACTATTTCAGGACCCCCCTTTTTTTCAGCTTTGCCAAAATGCTCCGATTTTCATGAATTTTCCGACATGTTTACATTACTAACACTTTTTTCCCCGGATCCAATCCAGCTGACACATTTTTTTAAGATCAAGGTTTTATAAATTAATCATTATCACTTTTTCAGCTTTGCCGAAATGATTCAAAAATATTTTCTTTTCTTCAAGTTTCGCATCCTCCCGCGCCCAAAAGCCACGGAGTCGCGCCAGCTCACATCAATTTTAATAATTCAACACGTACTAACTACCATTATCAACTCATAGAAATCGTGCCAAAATCACCATCAAAATTTGACGCCACCTCCCGGCCGGACTATATGTACACAACGGATATTTCAGTGCCGATTTTTGAAATGCGTAATGACCCTTTTCATGCCTTTTACTGCAAATTACCAGATTATGAACAAGAATAAAAGGGATACGAAACTTCATATTATACATAAAAATCATTCGGGTTGTAATGTAATTCCAATTACATTTTTGTACTGTACGTTAATTTGCATTTACTTAAAAATTGAGAACTGAAATTATTACCAATGTTGCATATCGTTAGTAAAACCGCTCCACCAATTATTCTGGAGTAATTCCCAGGAGTAATTTTTATACCAAAACCATAACACAAAAGTCGCTTTAATTACATTTATATGGAGAAGTAAATTCTGCTCTTGGTTTATCATTTAATGTAAAATAAAGTTAATATTTATTTATGATGATGAACGAAAAACGCAGAACCGCATATTCTCTTCCTAGAGCGATATACATTATTCAATGAAAGACGATCTTTGATTTTACAATTAGAATATCTAACGACGAACTGTACAAGTTTACCAACTTATAGACAAAACTTGGAAGAATTAATAAAGCCGACGCACTCCGTTTTGTCTAAGGGAAGCCAAGCGAAACGAACCGCTAATAAGTTTTCAATTAAAACGTCGATCTACTCCCGTAAATCCTTTTACATAATCCAAATCAACTAAACTTGGCTAGACAAAGACGTTTTGTTTATTTTACAATTCGAAACTTTTTACTTGAAGCGTTTCAGTTTTATTCGACAAATGTACGATACCGAAAATTGGATATGATTGTATTTTGTAATCGGTTCGATTTTCAATCCGAGCAAATATCTATGATTCAATTGTATCGAAACGTATGCAAGTCATATCTAATAGAGCATGCGACGTACGTGACGCAATTCCAAACTTATCGAAACTTACACCCACAATTCGAATTTAGAAACTTCGATTTAAGTTGTTTCCTATTATATCTAGACAGTAACAACCATGTATATTTTTGAGTAAAGAATATTTTGTCATTGAAAACGCCCCCCTTTCCAAAGGGTATTAAATATTTTTTAAATAGTTCCATTGGTTGTGATTCATTTTGCAACACAATGACGCTGGAGGGATAAGAATTAAAATTCTTCCACCAACAATAAAAGAACCATCTTTCAAAGAATTAAAAATGGAACAATTACGAAAGTAACCATAGAATCTACTATGGACCTTCCGGCCGACAACGCCGACAGAGATAAACTGTTATAACGTTATAAAAGAATGCTATTTAGGCTACGGAATGCCCCAGTGACCTTCTAGCGCCTCGTAGATCACGTAAAGGCCCAGCTAGTCGGCATCACAATACACGCCTATTTGGACGACATAATCGTGCTATCAAAGGATTTTACGACCCATCTGCACGACCTCATCGCCGTCCTCACTCGTCTGTGCCCGTGTAACCTGAGGACCCGGTGGAAGAAATATCATTTCGTAAGGGAGCAGATGCGATACCTGGGACACATAATCACACCCGAAGGCATCGGCACAGACCCAACAAAGACGCCTTTAAAGCAGTCAAAACGCTTCTAACCAGCTCGCCTATATTACAAGCTGATCCACAACTTTCGTTCGTTATCATGACAGACGCCACCCAATACGCTATTGGGGCAATCCTCGCCCAAGGCGAAAATGAAGGCGAGCGACCAGTGAAGTATACGAGCCGCGTACAAATTCTCCACCACCCTGACTGTTTCCAGGATTTGTAACTAAATTCGAAGATTCTGCTGCTTACTACTTATAAGTCGCCTTGTATGTACTTTATATATGTATGGATTCAGTTGTAATGTAGCTAATAAAAGACATTATTATTATTATGGTCGGTGTTTCTTGTGAGAACTCAGGTCTAGCCTGGTTAACTAATCGCACGGATTAAAATCAAGTAACGATTAGTGTCTGTGTCTGGTGAAGTTATGTAGGGTCCTAAAAAAAATTATTACTATTATTATTATTGTTTAGAATGTCAAATTTTGTAATAAATGCAGATGTATCCATAACTACGACAAATGATTAAAGCATAGCCTGTTAGTTCCGTTAACATTAATTCCGAGCGAATCGCCCTATATACAGGGTTTTTGCCTGGAACGCTGAATATATCTTCTTTTTAAAGAAAGTGTTTATGATATCCAAAATTATAAAAAGTTTGTTACCAATCTACTTACTTTAGATTTGTGGTCAGTGTGTGGTCACAACAAAATAGTGGTCTGATGTATTCCATACAAAGTTTCCACCCTGTATATACGTAATGTGTACGTTGAAAGTACCATACTGCATAATCACAAAAGAGATGGCCTATTTCCTGTCAGGAACAGGGTAGATAACATCCACACGTAGTTGAAAAATCAATATCGATTTGCTCGAGTTGTAAAGTTTGACGAAGTGATAAGAATCTGATGGATAAGCCACGAAATTAAAGATTGCCCCGAGTGATATTATGCTCATAGCTGAAGCTCACTTACTTTGTTTTATTGACGGGAATCTTGTAAAATGGCGTTGGTAAAATTCCGTTGTCTGAACATTAAAGGTCTCGTATGAAATATTTGTCGTTCTAACGAAAATTTGATGAGGGTTAAAACTGACGGACCACTTTAACTCTGTTATATCGTATATGTTCAAAATTACTTGAAATATTTAATATCGCAACAAAATTGTGCTTAATCCCTCGAACATAATTAAGTTTCTTGTAATCAATCAAAAAGAAAAGCAACGACGGAGTGAGGAATTATGTTAATTTCATTAGAGAGTAATAAAGTGTATTTGCAATAATTCGTCTGTCTTCAGTGCTTATTTCTGTTGATAGCTTTAAGGATAAAATGGAATTGAGAGAGGAGAATGATTAATGAAGATGGCAAGGAATCTACTTAGCCCAACTGCGACTGTTGGACTCACACTTTCAGACTAATAGCAATTCACCAATTATGCTGAATAACGTTGCGGAACCTACTTTGTCCTCACTTCAAAACCCAGACTGAAAGGCAAGGCTGAAAATAATTGGATTTTATTTATCTACCAAAATTAAACTTCATTGCTATTGTTATTATAGGGATTATCTGTGAGTTTCGCAATATTTTAGGAGTATTCTAATATTCTAGAGAAGCACCCGAATGTACGTAAACTTTCCATTACGATTTGTTTTAGCTGCTATAAATTTAATAAATCCAGTAGTCTAATTTATAATTCAACATGCCTTTGAGATTTATCTAATTCTGTGATATACAGGATAGCTCTTCCAGACTTCTTAGGTTTTTTCCTTTCAACTTTCAAGTTATTTTTCGTTTTCCAATGCAAGTCGTTCAACTACCTGTTTACACTGATTAATTTTATGATTGAATATTTTTCTCGGCGATACGTTCACCCTCCATTTTGGTTGAAGCTTCACTCAAGTAAATGTTTCTCGTTTAAAAGAGTGTTGAATTTATCCCTGCATTGATTTACTGCCCTAGTCACACTTGTGAATGGTTACGTCAATTTTGTCGCATGTAAATTGATTCAATATGTCGATTCGTGAGGTTCTTAAACGCTAATGTGAGTTAAGTTGCCGACAAAATATTGTCCTCGTTCTGTATTATTCGACTTGTTCGTTAAATCCAACAAAACCTAATGAAGTCCTTAAAATTGAAGAAAAAATTCGTACATGTAATTTTAATATGACGTAGAGCTTGTATATTTAAAAAGCAAAGTAATAGCCGACACATGGAACCAGGGACCTTTACAACTACACACATTCATACACGGAATGGCAGCCCTGGAAGCTCTGATAGTTTTGTTCTTTATGTTACCTATGCTTAAGAACTTTGCTTGGACTAAGCGTTAGTCCTACTAACACTAATTGGAATACAGTTCGGTGATACAGACGTTCAGTTCTTGGAGTAAATACCAGTGTCTATTCCTTCCTTTGTTTTAGATCCATCCGTGAAGATGAATATGTATGGTTGTGTGTATTTGTGTTTGGTGCAATGGTTTTATGTCTGTAAGTCCTCTACCTCCTTGCGAACGAGGAAGGTACAATTGTATAATTGAGTAGTGAGGGTGATGTATATGGTGTTTTGTTAATAGTGTACCGGTGTTTCTCTATATTTGTTCTAAATCTGTATTTGTGCCAACGTATAATTACAAAAGAGTATGTGAGACTGGTGTGGCATAAGTGTTAATAGCTTTGATTGTAATTCTACCGTGTAATTTTGTTTTAAGTTATGTTCAAGGTTACGCATTTTTATTACGTAACGCTAGTTTTTTCTTTACATTTTTCATTACTTAGTGTGTCAGTAAAAT